GCGTCTTTCGAATCACCGACCCGCACTGAAGTGCCCGCGTGCCAGCGCGGCCTTTGAGACGCGCTGGGAAGGCCCCATCGGTAACCGCCATCACGGCCGCATCTGTTTTGCCAAGACACATGGTCGCTTGCTCGCGAGCGTGCGCGCCAACGTGGCCGTAGAAGTGCGCCAGGAAGCGCCAATCACTAATCGCAGTTGTGGCCGAACGGGTCTTGACGAAGGTGCGGGGGGAAGGGTACGGTGGGATGTTTGCGCGATCAGTGAAGTGGACAACTTGAAGATATTCCTACTGAATGGCGCAACGTAGCTGCAACCACATAGCTTATACCATACATGTTCACCCATGTAGCTTCCACCGCATAGCTTACGCCACCGATGTTTCAAAACACAACTGTCACCGCGTAGCAAAGATCACATTGTTGCAACGCGTAGCCAACACCACACAAATTACACCATATAGCATGCGCCGCGCAGCTTGCACACCATGGCTTACACTATCTTACATCACATAGCTTGCACCACTTGCTCAAGCTGCTTTAACCACGCAGTTTGCACCGCACAGTCTTCACCTGCGCCATGCAGTCACTTATGGCTTGGGGTTCACGCTGGCAAATATTGCCTTTCGAAGCACATCTGGTATACGGCATACCTGGGGTAAAGAGCTGGTCACATGGTGAATAAGGTCAAGAGGTCCAGGGGGTGGGCACGTCAGGAAACTTCGCGAGCTTGGACGCGTGGGGCGATGGGCCAATACTTTCCCACATCGTGAACAAAATAACGACGGACGGTTGTCGTGGATAATTTTCGGCCTCCAGGGGGCCGTACCGGGCCAAAAGGCCAGCAAAAAACACCGCAGGATCTGGGGAGCCACGGCGTGAACAACTCACGACGTCTGATGTCTGGGAGAGAGGCAAGGAAGGGGGCAGGATGGAGCAGCTCGCCTCGACCTCGGTCTGGTCAGCCGACAGCAGGCTGTGGCCACCTCCCAACCCAGCTTCATGTCCAGCCCGCCGACCACCGATCTTAGTGAGCTCGATAACTATTACGGGCTCGACAGTACCCGAGCCAGCCGGCAGCGGCGCATTCAACCCAGCTCTCTCGCGGATGGAGCCCTCGAGAGCCGTTCGCACCATGCTGTGTCCGATGAACCTATCCACGTAGTCCCTCCAGACCCTAAATTGTACCTGCCCGCGATGACCCACCACCATGGAGGCCCCGCGTATCCGCAGGGCGGATTCATCGGGGTGCAGCTGGCGGGCATCCCAGCGGGAATGCACATGCCTTGGACGCCGTTGAGGCACGTGCCCCTCGTCGGCGCCGGCGTACCTCCTACGCCCTGCGCCCCTGCGCGCCCTTGCCACCGGGAGCCCCGCGCCCGCACACGCTAATTAACTGCCCCCCGCCCGCACACGTGCGCCCTTGTCCCTGCGCAGGTCCCCCCCCCCCCCCTCCCACCCCTCCATCGGACGCCCCGACGCGGGCGTGGGGGTGCGGTTCCCAGACATCCCGCGCCGCGTTTTATTCACAGCGTGGCTACCCAAAGCTCTGGGCCAGCTTGTCATCCTGAGTCATGGTTTGATGGCCCCGGGGCCTGGAGAGGCCCCTTTGAGGCCGAAAGCTGCAAAAACAAAGCCGAAGCCTTCCGCTGCGTTTCGTCACGACGCAAGGGAGGCAGGCATAGGAGGTGAGGGCGCCGATCAGGGGCACGTCTCTCATGGCCCTGTGCCGATGCTGTAAGGAGTCATCCCGAGCTGGTTGCACCAGAAGCACCCAGGTGCCTCGGCCAGAGGGCGGGGTGGCGGAAAAGGAGAGCACCACTGCCGAGGGTCGGTGCCCCTCATCGGGGTGCTCTGTGGCTGATGCTATTAGGGCCCCCAACCAGAACACTGCGAGCCAGGACTTTGACACATGCCACCTGGAGAGGACATCGGACGGAGAGTGTCGAGAGGCCTCCCAAGTGGGGGCCTTGGAAGCAGAGGTGCTTCTAAGAAGCCCTCGCCCCCCCAAACTCCTCCTGCGCGTGGCTGAGTCTCGTCGGGCGGGGCTAAGACGAGGATGAATCCGTCCCAGAACGTTCCGGAACGCATCAGAGCGTTCCGGAACGCTCTGGAAAGGCCGCAGCGCCCGAGACATCCTCCAGATCCGCCGGATCTCAGAGATTCCCGGTGTATCCTCACTAGATCTTATCCTCGTCCTGGCTTCGTCTTATCTCGGCTTTCGGCTGCAGTTTCCTCTGGAGCGCCAGCACCCTGCTCTGTCTGAGCCCCCGGAGGTGGAAGAGAAGGAGGAGGACGAGGAGGAGGAGGAGGAGGACGAGGAGGTGGACGAGGCGGAGGAGAGGAGGAGGCGGAGGGAGGAGGCGGAGGAGGCGGAGGAGGCGGAGGAGGAGGAGTGGAGTGGAGCAATCGGACGTAGTCCGTTCGGAACCCAGAGATGCCAGGGGGGCCATCCAGTATTTCTCGGAGGGCCGTGGGGGGCGACATCCCACGGCCCACCGCGACAGGCCCCCCTGGCCTCACAATTTACTCGGAGGCAGCTCCCGCCGCGTAGGAACCGATCGCGGCTTCGGCTGCCGAAACGTGCAAAGCCTCTAGCACTGACTTGCTGGGACCCGATCTGGACGGGTGGAGGCCTCGCCTGATCCTGCTGAGGTTCTCGAGGCCTTTGCCAGTGGGTCCCAGGGCCCTGCGCTCTCCCACTTGGTGGGAGAGAGGGCACGGCAAAAGTAGGCTTTTAACCTGGTGCGTGGCCGTATGGCCGCACTTCACACAGAAGAACATTTGCCACTTGGGGATGGTGGCCAAAGTGTGGGAGGGGTGAATCGCCTTGCCACTGATCACGCGGGGACCCCTCGACCACAGCACCTCGCCACACGCAGCAAACTCGGGAAGGGGGCAAGGCGGCACACACTCTGTGGCGGCAGCTGGAATAACGTGGCAAGCGTCAACGATGATGAGGCAGGCAGGGCATCTCCATTTGTCTGCACACCGCTCGAATTTGTGCTGAGAAGCCGCGATCGCGGTCTGCAACAGAGAGCGAGGGGCTGCCTCCTGGGTGGGTTGCCTCTCTGGCCACAGTCCTCGAGGCTCTGAATTCTTGCCTAAGGAACGTAAGATCAGTCGTGCCCTCTGACGGACGATGGCTGCAATAGCGTCGTATTCATCGGTCCTGGGGACAGGCGGGAGGGCAAGGGTGGCCGACTTGTGGGCCGCGCTTCCCGCGAGCTCGTCGGCATGCTGGTTGCCGAGAGCAAGAAATTTTTGGAAACCATGCAAAGTCAGGGGATCGGCGTGAGATGGGGTCCAGAGCACCGTGACCGAAGAGCCGCCGCCAGATCGATCCTGCACGAGGTGCCGAATTCTCAGCCAGAGATCCCCATTCTTATTCTTGCCTCTAAGGCTGCCAGGTCTGAGACATCTGCCATTCTGCCAGCCGCGCTGCAGGGCTAGGTGATCTGTAACAAACGTGAAATCCTGCTGGCACGTCTCCAGTGCCAGGCAAAACGCATGCAATTCGCCTCTTGGGACGGTCTGGCGGGGGCCTGGGAGGGGGGCGAGGAGGCCCGCGTGGAGGGTCCAGGAGGCCGAGGGAGGGTCCCATCGGAGGGCCGCGAGGCCAGAACCAACACGCCGTCGCCTGACGTCGTCGGAAAAGGCGCCGCCAGACCCGTCACCAAAAAGAAACAACTCGCCCTCAGCGTTACGAGCTCCTTCCCACGACGGCAGACCCTCCCGCACCGCACCAACAAACTCCCACCCGTCCCTCCCAGTCAATGGCTCGAACGCGGGCGTAGTGAGAGCGACAGAGGGAATGCCACGGAGCCACAGGGCAGGGTCGGCATCGACCCCCGCCACGGCTCGCGGTAGTAACTTGTCACTGGCCTCAAACTCAGGTCCCACATTCGCCTCGCACTGCCACATTCGGTGAAACAAGGTTTCAGGAACTCCCGCGCTGCATCGGTCGCAGTTCTTGTCGATCTGGTAGCCCGCGTTGTGGAGGCGGTCTCTGGTCCATTGTCCTCCGCTGATGATGGTGTTGTTGAGGGCCCAGTCGCTGAAGTCACCGTTTGCGAGGAGCCTCCTTTGTTCAATGCGGATAGTGACCATGTCCGCGCCTCCAGCCAGCGTGTCACCATGGTCATGCGTAGCGGCCTGAGTCCAGAGGAGCCTGTGTAAATCCTCGCTGAGGTCCTGCAATACTGTGTGGATGTCGGCGTCGAGGAGGTCAGGGTCATCGGCAGGGGGGAGGTTCCACTCCTCGATGTAGCCGTCCTTCGTACGCCTCCACGTGGTAGCTGAGGTCGGCTCCCAACTGGCCTCCAGCAGGGTCGCGATGGCCGCGCCTGTGGGTCCCTTGACCCTGCACCACAGCTTGGGGCCTGCGGCGAGCAAGGTGGTCTTGATCCTTGGCCATGCTCTGATGATCCTGGCGTGCGTGCTCGGGTGGCGTATCCAGTGCTGAAGCCAAGCCTCGATGAATTCGATCCTTAGGGAAACTCCTGGGTCCATGCCGTCGAAGGTGGCGCCGAGGAGGGAGGTGAGGCATCGGCCCGCTGCTGCTCCCGTGGCCGCAATGGCGGCCTGACGCCGCCATCGTAGTAGAGCGTGCCGAGCGAGGCCGTGCACCTGATGACCGAATACTCCTTCGGGGAGAGCGCCAGTACGCCACAGTCCTGCTGAGATTCGAGCCTGCTGTGCAGTGCTCCGTAGTCGGTGTATCTTGCGAAACCTAGCTGCGGCTGAGCTCTGTCGCTTCCTGGCTTTGGCTTGTACCCGTCGAGTAGCCGCAGCCGCGTCAACTCCGAGGTCGACGGCCGTGGCGGTCGCAGTAACTGGGATGTCGTACTGCCGCAACTTCTTGGCTAGCGATTTGCGGACCTTGGGGGTGGAGCCGATGAGGACAGTCTTGTCTGAGATAGGCAGCTCGAACTCCTTTAAACCGTCGCAGAGCGTCTTGGCGGCACGGGGGAGGTGCTTCTGTAGCGTGCGTAGGACTCCTTCGACTCGAAGAACAGTGTCATCTACGAAGGTCCACATCTGGGCAAGCTCTGCCTGAGCTTGGGCTTGCCGTAGAATAGGAAGTAAAATGAGTCGTGCCAAGGTCGTGCCGTGAGGGGAGCCTGCAATGATGCCTTTGGAGGCGAAGATAGGCATACTCACCCATTGTCGACTGCGCAAGAATCTGGGCGCCAGGTATAGCTGTACTTCCAGTAGTAGAATGATGGGGGGAAAGCCGCAGTTGAGGCCGACCATAATGAGGTTGGCGAGCTTGATATTGTCGTAGAACTTCTGGATGTCTAATAGCAACGTGGCTGACTGTATGCCAAGTGCTGAGGCTGTCTCGTCTAACAAGGCCCTATGTAGGGCGGCCTGGAGAGCTGAGGAGCCTTTGATGGCTGTAGTCCAAAAGTCGTCCAGACCTTGGGTCCAGGATGCAGATGCAGTCGATCTGATGCGAGACCAGAGTCTGGCCATATGAGGTAGCATGCCGAGGACCCTGTCGCCTCCAGACTTCTTGGCGGCGAGTGCTGCAATAGTGCCTGAGATTTGTAGTGGCCAGATGCCTGCTTGCTCTACTGCGTTGAGGATATCCGCATAGGCTTCGACTGCTGGTTCTGGTAGTCGATGGAGGTCGCGAGGTCCAAGGGCGTCAACTCCATGTGCTTTACTGGGTGGCATGCGGCCGTGAAGCGGTGTACGATCTCGGCTGTGATGGGCTCGAGCGGTTGGCGAGCGGCTGCTGCCTTGGCCTTTGACAGGGCCTGTAGGATGTCGTCGGGGGTCTCGGTGGCTTGCCATACTTGTTGCCATTGTTGCTTCTTGTTGTCCATGATAACGGTGGGGTCGGCGATGGTCAGGTTGGTCGTGTAGGCCTCGATGTGACGTACGGGCGCTGGCTTGACATGGGCGTGTAGTACTCCAGGGCGGTGTTTCCATTGCTTGGCGAGCCAAGCACCGTAGGCCCTCTTGGACTTGGCGAGGGCGGCGGAGAGCGCTCTGGAGGCCCAAGTAGCGGTAATAGTGACCAAGTCGTCGGTGTCCTCATTGTCCAAGTGCGGGGCCCAGACGAGTGCAAACCAGCGGAAAATGGTGTCCTCGTCCTTCTCGAACTGGAGGTCGTGAAAGTGAGTGTTGAAGTGGTCCGCGCGCTGCTGGATGATGGAGGCCTGCTGCTGCATGAGCGCTGTGTGCTTGGGCTTGTCGTGAAGCGCAGCGTAGCGCTTGATGAGGGTGAGCGTGATTGCCCACCATTCCGACTGAGGGTCATGTACGTGTACGCGGCCTGGGGCGGCGGCCGTCTTCTTCCAAGACAACTGGTAGCCTTGGGCTCGGCCTGTGTATGCTGCGGCTTCCTTCGGGTCGATCTGGTGGTGGCTGATCATGGTGTTCTCGAGCGCCGTGACCCATTTGGCGTACTTGAGGTTGAGGTCGTCGGCGTCGTGCACCCAGTGTGTGTACACGAAGTGCGCGTGAGGCTGCTTACAACGTGTGGGTACAGCTTGCTGCCATTGTTCTTCCCACAGGTCCCTCGGGATAGCATAAGGGATAGGTTCCTGTGCTGCGGGCTCGTCTTGTGGCTGGAGTTGTGCTGCTGCTTGTTGGAGTTCAGGAGGTAGATCGCGTAGGCGTGCTGCTCGAGCTTCTGCTGTTTTACGTTTCTTGATGGCGGTCTTGCTGTTGGGGTCTGGTGGGATCCTGGGTCTGTCCACTGTGGGGAATGCCCTGGGGGTATGGATCGACTGATACCACCAGGGGTCTGCACTGCCTGCTCGAACTTC